GTGATCAATCTGTTTTGCAGATTGATCACACAGTTAATTTTTCAATCTCCAGCAAATTTTAAATAGCATCCAAAATCCTCCTTTTTGGAATGTAAGGAAATAGATAGTGCTTTTCCATTGTTTGATCAATTGTAACTCCTGATTGTAGCAACCCTAAAACGAATGGCACTTCAGAAATACAGTAGAGTATACCAATTATTCTCTCAAACTTTATATCCTATCGTGTTGTTTGTGTTTTAAGTTTATTTATTTATTTTATTTATTTATTTTTTATTTTATTTTATTTTTTTTTAAGCGTACAGGTTTGGAATATTTTAAAATCCTTAAGGGTTCATCCATTATTTTCATCATTTTCACGCGCGTACAAAACGTACGCTGGGGGGAGGGGGTTGAAAGTGTGTGTACGCTTTTCAAAAAGTACAAAAATAACGATTTGGAAATGTTAGCCTACGTTTTTGTACCTAGCAATTCACGAGTAAATGTTAAGTTTATCAATTGTTTATACACAGCGTCATCTTGCATCCCTGATTAACGATGTGTTGGTTAAAGCATTGTGTACTTATAAACAATTTCGAAATACAAGGGAAATGCACTCTAGCCAGGGGCGGATCCAGGATATGAAAGAGGGTGGTTTAAAATGTCTAAAAAAATAACCCCAACATTAAAAGTGGTCCTGGGAACTTCCCCCTGGAAAATTTGGATTCCTAGATGGCCGGAAATAAGCTTTCCCGACTTCTGAGGAGTTTTTAATGACCTTTAAGTTCTTCAAAATTCAAGGTTTTCTCCTCTTGAAAAAGATCAGGTAATTTTATCTCATTCTTTAGGCCATTATATAGAGAGAAAAAAAATAAAAGACATAAGCAATAAATTATTATATTCCAACAATAGAACCCACTTTCGTACATACATTATTACGACATTGAACCAAAAACAGTTTGTATAATTTTATTTAATTGAAGGCTATTTGGGCTAAGCATACTTTGTCTGATTTGCCAACCTATATGCCTAGGTAGGTTCAGGCGCGGATCCAGCGGGGGGCCACGGGGGCCCGTTCCCCCACCCCTGTCAGTCACGCCGAAAAAAAAAATTAGAAGAGTTAAAGGGAAGAAAGAAAGAGGGAAAAAAGAAAGTGTACTCATGAGTTCAGTGACGGATCCAGCAGAGGGCGAAAGGAGAGCTCGATTATTTTACCACTCACTAATTTTGAATTTTCTATTGATTGTCAACGAACACAACGCTATTATCCCCGACGCATCAATCAGGATGTAAAAAGGCCAAAAGGCGGAGACCTAAAGACAGAGTTTTTTTTTAGCCGGAATGTAGTATCCAGCTATAGAACAGCTTTCCATGCTCAGCATGGAGTAACGCCTACGCGTTCTCGTGCTAAAATCCGCCGGCCATCGACCCTTTATATAATGATTTTGATAAACAATCATAATTCCCTGTAATATCTACTAAACATTTAACGAATGAACTTCCTTGTGTTGTGGTCATATTAGACTGTTATATTTTTAAAGAAGACCATTCAGCAAACAACATAAAACAAAATTCCCACGTCGGTGCATGCATAAAACGTATAATTTCCTGAAATTTGGATATAGAGCGGACTTCCTTATGATTTAGGCCTAAGAAAATATAAATGTATACGGGTCTGAACTTTGTAGGTGACAAAGTGTTCTTCCTTATGTTGTGGTCATATTAGAATATAATATCACTAAAGACCATTCAACAAACAACATGAAACATAGGGCCTATATCA